GCCCCGCCGCATGCGGGGCTTGTTTGGTGTCGGCAGGTACGGAGACTACAACTGCGACCACCTCTCGCACCTCTGTGCCACGGCTGGGTTGCAGCCCGATGCCGACGCCTCCCACGGCTTCAGCTGGAAAGTTATTCTTTCTAAACTGCCGTGCAACGTTGCTCTGCACCGTTAGACAGATGCTGCGTTCCACCCCAGCGCTGACTGCCTCTCAGTATTAGCTCAAATCGTTCCTCAGCTCTCTCCCGGCTTCACAGCGGTGTTATGAAGTTTAATTAACTGTAAAGCATCGAGATCAGATTAAAAAAAAGGAGCCACAGAAACGCACAGATTCGTCTCGAGTTACCGGCTTAGTTTAAAGCGAGCCCAAGCGCTGCCCATCGCCGTTCCAGTTACCCCCGCTTACAGCGGGCAGCCAAGCCATCACGACACGCTCCAAAGCCCGCTCCGGATCATGGGATGCCCCCACGGTGGCGATACGGCACTCGCACCGTCGTGCCTCGGGTAGCGACCTGTACGGGAGACGCCACGACAGCACTCCGCAATCACCGCAAGGCTTTTCCTGCCACAACACTAATTTTCTCTTCCAAGAGTACCGAAGCTAACAAATCAATAGCTTTGAAAAGGGGAGGGGGGAGGAGAGAGAGTCGAGTTCTTCGGCCTTAAGGAAATTTTGCCTAAAAGGCATTACAGCAGGAGGTCCGGGGTTTCATCCTGTGATTCGCGACAGAGCACCAAAGCCACGAGATAGCTATCTTCTAACGGCAGCGGTCGCAATCTCAACTCGCGCTGTGTGGTGCTTTTCACCCGCTGGAAAACCCCAACCGCACAGGTCGGGCCCAGTCGCTTTAATTCGGCATCCGACCCCGCTTTTGTTTCTCTTCAGCTGCTTCGCTAGTCTACATCGCGTCGCTATGCCCGTTAGCTGGGCGGTGATTAACAGGCTTACCCTACCGGAGGATCACAGCAGCCTCCAGTTAAAAACAGCTCTTTTTAAAAAGGAAAAAAAAAAAAAAAGGGGTTTCGAAACGCGAGGCGAGGCATTACGAGCCAGACAGCAAAACAAAGAATGAAGGCGGCTGTCCTGCAACCGGGCTTTCATTTTTAATTCAGGCGTCTGTCAATGACGGGGTCTCCGAGTCAAACCGGGGGGCAGCTCACCACGCATCGAGCTAAACCAACCACGAATTCCACAGAAAGCACCTTGCGACAAAACATCTGAAAAACTAGGAGGAGAAGACATCAACTACGTAAACATCTGGGCGTCTGCTGCTAGGCGCAGACGAGTCGTACTGAAGCGACACGAGTGTTTTCCCCATCTCGCAATGAAAAGAGCCGACACCGATGGCTCGTTTCCATCGCTGCCGGCTGCCCTCAACGGACGCTGCGGAACGGCTGAATTCGGAGAACGGAGTCGCCCCTCCAGACTTCCGAAACCCGGCGAGCGGCACCCTTAAGACACAGAGCAATCTTCGGCGGCGGAGCCGGCCTTCGGGCAGGAGCCCCCGGCCCCGTTTGGAGGACGCCGACCTCTCGCAGAGGGAGAGCGAGCCGAAAATGACACCGGCTTTCCCCCCCCCCCCCCCATCCTACCAGAAAGGCCATTGGGGAAGACCGGGGAAAGCATGTACAACACGCCTATGAATAAAGCTCTTTGTTCAGCCAGGCTGCCCGCTCCTTTATCCCCCCCTTTTCCTATTAGCGAAATTCAACAGATCGCTCAATGGCCTTCTTGTTCCTCCCAAAACGTCCCGGGCAAATAACGCTCGCTCCTCTCGTCGCGCAAGCCAGTAAATGAAGCCTTGTGCCTCTCCAGTGACACACTGTAAATATAAAGTGGCATTAAGGAGGAGTATTTTATCAAAGCCATCAGACACAAGCGCAAGTCCCTCCTGCGGCTACTCGGCTCAGTGCAGGAGCGATGCAACACCGGCGAGGCGGCACGCCGTGCCG